ACGGGGTTCCCAACACCTCCAGCCATCCTGGTTATTTTTCAGCTCCCCTATGGCTCCTCTCGAGCACAGTGAAAACGTTGATCTGTGCTCTGGCCTGCCATGAAGACTGAGCTCACCAAAGCCCTGGGCAGAAGTGGAGAAGCAACTGACCTTCAGGTTGCTTTCCTACACCTGAATCATTCAATACATGAGATTAGTGACCATTTGAGTGGCACTGCTAGCAAGTGTCAGGCTGTCCCCCACATCCCTCATCCCTGCTGCACACAGAGTGATCCTGCCCCCACTGCAGCAGGGGCTGGCTCTCTTACTCTGAGATAGCTGTACATGCAGATGGACATCCAGTTGGTGAGCATCTTCTCCACCACAGATTCTGTCCTCCTCAGCATAAGCTTGGGGTTTTTGGAAGCTGAAGCATCTATTAGATCTACCAAGAGGTCCTTCATGATGCTGGTGTAATACTCCAGTTTCCCATGCAGTGCAATAGTAAGCAGGGAGGCCAGGTTACACCTGAAATACAGAATGGTACAGGACTCAAGCCCCAATCCAACAAGGCTGAACTGCTGGCGGGCACTAAAAAACCCAACACACAAAGACAATCTTTCAGACAATTTTCATGAGCCTTCCTAATGGTGTTAGAAGTTCCAGCCCTCCTTCAGTGCTGCAGGACCTCAGGTCAGCTTGCACACCCTCACTGGTAAGCCAAATGGGTGAGTGCTCTTCAGGGTTTATGGCCACCCATTTCTAACAGAAATGTGGAGGCCAGTGTGACTCAACTGTGCACTGAAACACAGCCCAGACACTGGCTGGATTGCTTTGGGTTAGGAATAAATTAGTGTCCTGCAGCTGCCAAGTCTTGGTTCTGAAGCTCATACCTGTCTCTGACAGCAAAGTCCTTCTGCTGCTCGAGAGCATGGACAAACACGATGAGGAAGTGCTTGTTGTTGAGTAAGGTGGAGAACAGAGAAATTCCTTCTTCCATGTTAGGTCTGCAGTTCTCAGGGATCTGAAGAAAAATTTAGAAAGCAGACTAAGAAAACCCTGCTTGTTGCTTTCCTCCACATTTTATCTCTCTTGATGGCAGGGATGCCCCGACTGAGCACAGAGACACTAAGCAGAAGAGCCCCTCCTCCCTCTACCTGACACAGCTGGGTCAGTGGCAGTGGCCACTCCATTCTGTTCAGCACTCCTGAGCATACCTGCAGCACTGTGGCCAGCTTGGGGCTCCCCACTATGAGACAGATGGAGCAAGTGCAGCTGACAAAACAATCAGTGGGGGTACAAGGAGAGGTGAAGAGGGCTGGGTTTGGTCAGCTTGCAGAATTTCTAGATCTTACTGCAGCCTCAGGGTTACAGAGCCAGGAAGGACCCCAGAGAAACACTTCATGCAAGAGCAGATTCACAGATCTGCCTTCTTCAGCCACCAAAGCTGATCCAGTGTGGTCTGTGTTAATGGTTAGCAACACCCAGAAGCTGGTAGTGGGTTACTCACCTTCCATTCCCCCACCAGGAGAGGATGTGTTTCCTGGACCTGGGAGCCCAGCTGTGAGCTGAGCTGCTGGGATGGCAGGATGTAGCACTCCTCGTAGAGAGAGGAACACTGGAACCAAGCACAGTGTTAGGGAGGGCACTGAGTGCTGTGCACAGGGGAATAGAATGGGACTAAAGCCACCCATTCCAGAGACATGCACGGGGCTGCCTTAGGGAGCCTTGGAACACTTTGCAAGAGCCTCCTGAATGAGTAAACACCACAAGGATGGGGGGAGGCAGACGTCTGCACAAACGCAAGGCTGTTAGGGCAGGGAGACTGCAAATAGAGTAATGTGACAGCTAGAAAACTCCCAAAAGAGACAATTTTACAGAAAACTATATCAAAATAGAGGAGTTCTGAATGTTTCAACATATGTAACTTTTAAAACAGATGGGAAAAATGTTTAAATCTCTAGCATTTATATACCAGCCCAAATCTTAAAGCCTCTAGTGTGCAGAGACATGGAGACTGCGTAACTGAAAAACCTGAGTAATAGCTACTAATGAAACACTCTGCAGTCATAAATCATCATCTCAGTCCTCAGCACTGGCACACAACTGCCTCAGGGATGAAATACAGCCACAGTGAAGGGCGCAGAGGCACACAGCAGAGCAGCCAGTGACAGGAATGACGGCACCAGCACGTCTGGGGCAGCTCTGGTGAAGGACTCGGGGCTGACAGATTGGGACTGGGTGCCCAAGGGACATTTACTGGGAGCACCACGCACCCAACCTTGGACAGGGAGGAAAGGAGAGACAGAGACATCCAAAGAACTCCTGAGGACTGTCCGAATGGGAATGCTTGAGGACACCCTGCATGGGATAAAAAGCCACTCTCCCTGATTCACCCTCCAGCCACCCTTCAGCCTCTGCCGAATGAGTGGGATGGCCCTGGAGCCCTTGAGGAGACCCCAGCAGCCTGCTTGTGTGAGAGCTCTTTCAGAGGAGGTGTGCAGTGGCCCCAAAGAGGCAAGCCAGAGCAGGGGACAGTTGCCGCCGGCCTCTGTCATGTGCGAACAAACCTGATCTTGTACGACACCTCAGGAGGGGCGGCTCCACTTTTGATGATAATTGAGACTGAAATATGTGACAAGTAAATATATAACAGTGGGATGATTTTGTGACACTGTAAAAGCCCTTTAGCAGAGCCCTAAACTGGTTGGGACATATGTGGGAGCAGTGAGGTGCCCGTGACACACGCTGTGTCCTTACTTTGGGGAAGAATGTCCTGGTGACAAAGTGCTTGTACTCCAGGAAGGGGATCCCCTGGCTGCGGTTTAGCTCCTTGGTCAGGTCTGTCATGTCTGTCTGCAGCTCTGCAAAACCTTAACAAAGAGAGGCAGAGATGGTGAGAGCCCAGTCCCGACAGGCTGGCACTGGAGTCTCCTCTGCCCCTCGTGCTGTGCCCTGGCAGGGGCTGGAGCTGGGTTTGCTCTGAGCAGCACATTCTCATTGGGGTTTAACCATCAGACTGTACACCTTGCCCCAAGCACTGACAGAACATCCCCTGCCCCAGGAGCCCCAGTCCCCTCAGGACAGGATCATCGACCGTGGGATGGTGGGTGCCAACACCTGGAGTACTCCCACTGCTCCACGAGGAGTATGCTGCAGCTTCTGGTGCACCCAAGAAGAAAGCACACTGAAGGTTAGTGTGACCTTCACGGAACCCTCTGACACAGCCAAAGGCCATTGACTCCAGGGCAGAGAAGCTGGTGGCACTGGAGATCAGTGGCTTGCCCAAGCCAGGCAGCAGGACAGTGGCAGGGCCACACTTCCAGCCACTGAGCCACATTCCCAAACTCTGTCAAAGCTCACAGGTGACCACAGAAACCCTCCCACAAATAATTCTGTGAACTTCTACACAGCACAAGGTGAATTGCTTCAAGCCTAACCTGACATCCCACTCCTGGCCATGGCTCCTCGGCACCCAGACAGAGACTCACCTTTGCGGATTTCCTCCCGGATCTGTGACTCCATCTCCTCCATCTGGAGCAGCGTTTTCTGCCAGTAGCGCTCGGCTCTGCGGCTCTTTGTGCAGAACACAAAGAGAGCTGCAAAAGAGGAAGAGAATAAACCTTTTGGACCTGGGCTTAGGAGCAGCTGCAGCTGGGATCAGAGCAGTTCTCCCTGACACGAGTGCAGAAAGCTGAACCCAGAGCTGGTTTCACACCTACCACCAGACTGGTATCTGCTCAGGCAGTTGTCGATTATCTGTAAATAAGTAAAACCAGTGGGGATTTAATGATCCTGCTGTAGCTGTCATCTTCAATTTAGGTCTGGGCTGTCTATATTCAGCTTAACTGTATATTAATGTGTTCCAGCTGATTAATGAATACAGAATTGAGGATGTTTACCACCTGTATTACAGTGTTCATATCTGACAGTCTTCCCATGCCTCCAGAAATGTTTCTAATGATGGGTGGTGCATCTAGTAAATATGGTGCATTAGAGCTTTTATTAAAAATAAATTAAATCCTTACTATAAAGCCCTCATTTGCTGTGAAGTGGCGGGTTTCTTGCTGCACAGTCATTCTGTGCAGGGACCCAAGCCTGAGGACAAAGGTGTGCAGCACAGCTTCCAGCCAGGTACATGCACCAGTGTGCCTGCTTCAGATTTGCAGCTAAGGATGCTGCCTCTGCTCTTCTACTCAGCCAGGCACCTGACACTGCTTGTTCCTGATGACAGGATCTTGGCCCAAGAGCACCTTTGGAATAATCTGGGACAGTCATGCCTGTGACCATGATCAGTGTCTCACATCCTTCTTTATTTTGTATTATAGTAACACGAAGTATTTGGGGATTATTATTTATTTATAAATATCACAGGTTCAAGTAACAGAATTGAGCTGTGGATTCAGCCAGGAAAAGCTCTGTGCTGCAGGGAGCTGTGTGCCATGCCTGCTGCACCCAGACTACCTTCAGGTCCTGCACAACTGCAGCACTCAGAGTCACCTCCACGGCTCCACATGCAGAGACAAAAGCCTTGCCAGAGCCTGGAAACGCGCGGTTCTTTCCCTTACCCACGACAGAGAGGACCAGCAGGATGCTGCAGATGACGATGGAGACAATGATGGCAGTTTCTCCTCCCCCGAGGTGCAGCATGGCAATTGTGTAGTTGAACTTTCCAACTTGGATCTGAGGAGGGAGAAGGAGGGAGGAAAAGCAGGAGCTGAGCAGGTTTCCAAGGGGCTGGGAGCAGGGTGCACACAGGGCAGCACCCAGCAGACCTTCAGCCCAGGAGTCCCTCCCAGGCTGGGTGGGAGGGAGCTGGGCTGTGCCGTTCACTGCCAGAGCCTGGGCACTCTGCGAGGCTCCAGGAGCTCAGTTCCCTCCCTGTGCTCTGGGGGATGCCAAGGCCACACCAGCAGGCTGTGATGCTGCAGTGGTGCCCATCCCAGGACCACCACAGGGCTTTGGGGGCAGAAGTGCAGCCCCACGGCCCCACTGTTCCTACCCAGAGGAGACAGCCCTTCCCTAGAGAGCCTATGGCACTGTACAAGGTGCTGCTCTTACTAGAAAATCACTCCCACTAATCATCAACTTCTTTATGGCTCTGAACAGCCTTTGGAGCCCTGCTGCACTCGCCTTTCTCCTCCACAATCAGAACAGCTGCCACCCAGAAGAAGCAGGGTTAAGAAACTTGAAAGTCCTTGAAATAGAAATAAACGAAGGGAATAAAAATAAATGAGACCATAGAGGAATAATGATCTTGTGGCTAAAGCAGTGAAAGGGGTGTCAGAAGGGGCTGGCTCTGCTCCCAGCCTGTGCTTCTTGTGACAACAAGCACAAACCACTAGAGCTCAGTCCTTGGCTTTCCTGATCTCCAGAAGGGAAGAGGCCAGCACACATCACAGGCTGGCAAGTTACTGGGTGCTGTTTACAAATAGCTCTTTGGGCCCTTGGGATGAAAGGATTCCACAGCATCATCTGATAAGGAAAACTCATGACCACACAAGGCTTTCGCTTCTGGAAATGTGAGTTTCACTTCTCCCAAGGAAGGAGAAGTGAGAGAAACTTGAGAAAAAACCTTGAAATTAGGTAGGGAAGAGCTCCAATAATTTTACGATTTTGATTAATCTTTTGATTAATAAAAACTAATCTTTGATTTCCTGTGTCATGAAACACCTCTGGGAAAGGTGCTCACTGGGGTGAAATTCCAGCAGCTCTCAGCCACTGGACCAAAGCCATCCCACAAGCAGGATCCACCACCAGACACAGAGCTCCATCCTGAGGGGAACCCAGCTCCAGGAGCATTGGTGAGGGCATGGTGCTGCCAGTGGAAGGCTCCAGACACGGAGAGCTTTGGTCTCTACGCTGGCATTGTCCAAGAGCCACGGTGCTGGACAGGGACAGGAGCCACAGCACTGCAAGAGCCCCCGGGCAGGTTCACTCTGCAGCCTCACAGCCACATGCCCAGCCTCAGCATTTCCACTTCTGCCCTCTGAAATGCTGAAAGGGGCAGCTCCTCAATGTGTTTTGAGTCCTTTCTTCCCCACTAGCTCACCCTTTTCCATTTTTCAGAGAAAATAATCCCATGCTGTCTAATTCAATGTTTAAACTGTTTGATCATGAACAAAGATGGGCCTGAAGGTCTTGGCAGGTCTCTCTTGTGTAGCTGGACAGCCCTACTCAACACTCAGAGTGACCCAGGCAAGGCCCCTGCCTGCCCTGTGTCACCAAAGCCATTTCTCATGTGGGATAAAGCAGCAGCCCCTCGTGGGATGGCAAGCAGGTGAGGGCCCCAGCCACATCTGGAGATTTAGTAAGGGTGCAAGGTATGAATATAAGCAGATTAATTAGCTGCACTTTCATTGCTGGTGCAGTCTGAGCAGTCTTGTGACTCTCCTGCTTCCTGAGGACTTGCCCTCATTGGTTAATGTCACACCAAGACTAGCAAACTCAAAAATTCCTTTTCTTCCACAAAGGGATTCCCCTGTTTCTCAGCTCTTACGAAGAAGAAAGAAAAAAAAAAGTTAAAAATTACCCTGTTTAAAATTCCTGTCAAGATGACTCAAAAAATTCTGTTACTTCTGCATTTCCATGTTTCCAGTTTGCAACAGAATTTCATACACCTCAGATTGTTGCCAATAAACTGGACAGCCCTGTCAGTGAATTGGTGGTGCATCCTTGTGCCTCCCTCCTGGCAGCCCAGCTCCACAGCTGTGCAGTTCCCTCCAAGTCTCCTTCCCCTCCCTGCCCCAGGCTCAGGCTCCCAGGGCTGGGAGAGGGCCACGGGCTGTGTGTGACACAAGGGAAACTGAGGCACACACAGCACTTCAGCCAAGCCCACTGGAGAGCAGGGCAGAGGCAAAGTGTGGAGCATTTGCAGCACAAGGAGAAACAGCAGCCCTGAACGTGGAACTCTTTCAGCAGGAAAGCAGCAGCCTTTGGAAGCCCTGAGCACTGCTGGTCACAGCAGGGACCCAGCCCAGGGAGGGCTGGACTCTCTGCAAGGGAGCAGAGCCAACGCCTTTGAGCTGTGAGGAAATCCCCAAACATGTCATGAGGAGCAGAAAGTCAGTGCAGGTGACAAAACCTGGCAAGCCTGAGACCTCAGTGTGCCCGAGGCTCCCCTGGGCACAGTGCAGAGCTCAGCTGTGGTACCAGGGCTGGCACTGCAGCTCCTGAGCACAGCTCGGGGCAGCCTTTGTCCCCATGCCCTGCACCTGCTGACCAGCTGCCCTGCCACATGCCAGCACAGAGCGCTCTGTCCCCTGTGCAGCTCCTGCAGGGCCCCCGTGAGTGCAGGGGACCCCCTGCCCCCAGACTCACCGTCACGGGCAGCTGCCGCTCCGAGGAGCTCAGAGACTCGTTGATGGAGCAGTGGATGACTTTGTCTGAAACAATCTGGATCTCACATGAGATCAGGCCGATTTTCACCTGGTACTCATTGCTCTCCAGGCCCAGGCTGTCAGGCTCTTTCTAAAGACAGAAATAAAATCAGGATGTCAGGCTGCAGCATAGCAGTTGGAATTGCAATCGATCTTCCTGCTTTACTTTCCATATCCCTGCTGTTTTGCAGGCCTGGGAAGACTCTCCCTCACCAAGGACATTTTTCCAGCACTCCACAGGAAAGCCAAAACCAGGCCATTCCCCATTTTCCTGTTTCCCATTCTTCACTCAGCATGGGGCATAGGATGTACAAGCCCCTCATGGAACCTGGAAAAATCTGCTTTTGATCGGGCCTGCTGTGCGTGGAAGATAAGGATGTAAGAGCCCATCTGGGAGGGGGGAAGGATGTACAGAGGAGGGGACAGCCAGGGGATGCGCCTGCAAAACCTGAGAAAGGGGGAGCACATTTCTGGAGCACGTTGCAAACGATTAGGATATCCTGCAGCAAACAATGGCCTTTGAATTACTATTGCTCATTGTCCAGGCCACTCAGCTTCTGCACCCCAACTTCCTTGTAAGCTGAGCTGAATTCAGTAGCCAAAAGAGAAGAATGAATGATCTATTTCTGCAGGAATAAACACCTATTGTCAGGCCCTTCTGCAGCACCTGCCTGGTTTCAGGCCAGGGCATTGCAGTTATTTTCCACACGTTTCACTTAGCCCCTTGCTACAACACCCTCCCCACACAGCTCTCTCTGGCATCATGCCTCAGAAGGCACCCCCAGACCAGGCTGCATCTCCTGGGCTGGAGAGATGCAGAAGCTGCAGGCTGAGCCAAATCCACCTGCTCCAGCCTCTGCAGGTCCCATCCTCGCCCTTCTGCCTGTGGACAGTCCCTGTGCTGAGGAGCTGCCCGGGGGGGAGATGGCAGCACCCAGAGAAGCAGAGCTGTAACCAGCACCCTCTTACATGGATGACCAGAGTTAAGGGCTCGCCAGGATGGTGCTTGATCCACTTCTCCTTCTTGGCTGTGGAGAACTGGGGGTCAGCGTAGTAGCCCAGGCTGAACTTGCTGATGGGCAGGGCCTCCTCGGGGTACAGCTCCTGGTCCAGGGCCGAGCGCTCGTCTGTGTAGAGGCGCCCGTTGAGGTAGAAATCCACCGGGGCTGGCTTGGTGCCCACGGTGACGTTGGAGGCGGCCGGAGAGGGGCAGGTGATGGCGGTGTCGCTGTGAACCTTGCAGCGCTGGGAGCAGCAGTGGCAGCTCGTCAGAACCCACACCACCAGTGCTCCCAGCCCCTCCTGAGGCACAGCCAAGCCCCAGGCTCGCTGCAGGCACGCAGCCCTGCCCCGCCCCAGGCAGGACACCCACCGTGTGCTCTCTGCCGATGCCACGCACAGCCATGGACACGTTCTGCACCAGCCCGAAGCCTCTTCCTTCCAGGGTGATGATCCTGCCCCCACTTTGAGAAGGGAAGAAAGAGAGGGTGACTGCAGAGGACAGTGCAGCAGTGGCATGTGATGGCTGCATCTTCCTCCTGTCATTTTCTCAGACATGTTTCCAAGCTGCCTGAGCAGAAAATGTGACCCAACAGCCAAAGCCTTCTTCCTACTTACAGCAGGGAAGAAAGGAAGGAAGGAGGAGTAGATGCTCTGGTGGAAAGGGGTGAGCCTCTTCCAGCATCAGTGGATGTCCCCCTTCCTCCCAGTGCCCAGAAGAGCAGCCTGTACATGCCAGGGAATGCAGCAGGCAGCCTGGCCACTGGCTCTGTAAGTGACTGTAAAGTGATGGCCAGGAGACAGCCCCTACCCCTGTCCCTGTCTCTGCCCCTGCCCTGCAGCAAGCCACACAGAACCGTGAGACGTGGAGAAGGAAACGTCCCTCATCCTGCATCTTCCAGGAACTTCTGATTTAGATCAAAATGTGAGAGTTGCTGTGTTTTGAATCTGCTTCAGGGGAATGCAGCACATGGGCCTCTCACTGTTCAGTCAACGAACAAGAATAATGAGCAGCCCCAATATGCACAAGGCAGAGCAATGGCTGTAGAACCATCACCACTCATCTGCACCCTAGATCAACCTTCCCCTTCCCCTGTATCACATTTGACTTGTTTGGAGTATTTGGCAGGGAACAGGCAAGACTCAAAAGTCCTATTATCCGAAGAGCCCTCCAGGCAATGACTTCTGGCACAAGGGCCCAGGGTTCTCTGAAGCCTGGGGACATCACTAGGAAGTTATGATTCAAATTTCTAACTAGGAGCCTGTCACATCTGCAGACTACTGTACAACTTTTGCATTGGTTTAGATTTTGGTTATATGGATTATTTTATCAATATGGTAAGAGAAACCAGACCCAGCTAAATTTTCACACCAGTTATTGGCACCTTGTGACCAACAGCCCAGCAATGTGCTGAAGCACTTGGACTGCATGGGCTGCACCAAAGGCTGGAGAGAGCCTGCAGCTCCCATCCCTATTCTCTGAAATTTGGGAACTGCTCTAAGTACCAAGGAAGGGCACTAAGGTGACTAAGAAATACCCCAGTGGTTTCTTTTGTGACTACACGCAGGACATTCTTCCCTTGTCTCTTTTTAGACACTGCTCTGGCCACTCAGCAGTTGGAAGCTTTCGAGGGGCTGTGCCTGGCTGAGTCATGGCTCTGCCTTTCCCCAACATTCCCACAGCCTGCAGCCTTGGCATTGTGCTTGGGAACAGAGAGGCAGCTTTGTTCCAAGGGGATCAGACCACCAGAGCCTCCTCATGCCCGCCCCTGGGCGTGCTGCTTTCAGCAATGTCCCGCCAGCACAGCCCCTGCCCTCCCAGATTTCCTACTCAGCCCTGGGTTTTTCAGCTCCACAGGTGAGGAGGGTGTTATTTCACCAGCAGTATCCAAAGGAACAGAAGTCTGAGAACTCCACAGAGACATGAAACTAAAAGCAACGCACTTTAAAAATTAAATACTGTGACCTCGGGGAAGGTTGAAATCCAAAATTACAAATCTCATCTCATCTTTCAGCAGTTTACTGCCAAGAAAAATCCTCAGGGTCTCACAGAGCCCCCACCTGGACCTCCCCAAAGCACTCTCCAGGTGTGCACAGTATAGTTACCAAGGCCGACATTTTTGCACTCCTAAACACATCAAAACAAGCTATGTATGAGTCCTGGGGTGTGAGACCTACCTCTACTCCCGTGCTGGTGTTACCCTGGAGCACCCCAAGAGCAAGCTAAGGCACCCTCTATACCCGTCCAGCCCAGGGCTGAGAAGCCTCTTTGTCCTGCCAGGACCCTCTGCCCACGCCCTCCCACCTGGAACTGCCCCCCTCTCTCAAGGCTGTCCCAGCTAGGGCAGGATCTCACCTGATCTGGCTCTTTTTGGGGCTGATGTCTGATATAACCGGGTTCTTCTCATACTTGAAGGTGATGTTGTGGCTGGCACAGGACTTGTTCTCGAACTGCACGCAGACGGGCACGGCGGAGGTGAGCTCCACGGCGGGCATGGTGCAGGTGATGGTGCTGTCACTGCGGCTGCGGGGGCACAGCAGGGCTCAGCTCAGCAGCCAGAGGCTGCAGCCTGGCCTGAACACCCTGACAGGCAGGTGGCAGCCACAGATGACAAGCAGCTTCCAGTCACTGCCAGCTAGCCGTTCCTCCAGGCTGCTGACAGGCAGCTCTCAGCTCACACCCTCCCTGCCAGGGGGATGCTATGCCAGCATGCAGTGGTGCCCCCATCAAAACCTGTCTGACTTCTTGGGGGACAATACCTTCCTAAAGCTTTGGCTCTCGTCACTATCCCAGTGCCAGCCCCCAGCCCTGCTCCCACCTGAGGTCCGTGCACTGCTTGGAGGAGTTGATGAGGACACGGAGCTCTGAGCCCACATCCAGCCTGCTGCCTCTGATGGTCACTCTGGTGCCTCCTGCCTTTGGGCCGTTCAGAGGAGTGATGGACTGCACCACGGGAAGCTAAAAGCAAAGGGAAATCTGTGTTCTAGCCTGGTAAATCTGCAGCTGGATATTCCACACTGTACATGGGAATTCATTCAGAACTTTGAGTAAGTGTCCAGCACTATGAGGCTCGAGCAGCAGCACAGAAAAAGCTTTTGCTGGCAAGGTTTCAGAACAAGAGAAGTGGTACAAACACTAAGGAGTAAGATCATATAAAACCTCTGTGACTCTCATTGGTCTCTAAATACTGGTTGTAAATGAAACATGGAGCCAAACAGGAGCCCAGGATCCCACCATTCCCTTCAGATTTCCAGCAGGAGATCCAGAGCCCGTGACAGTGCAAGGTCCATCAACAAAAGGAAATTTCTCACTCATTCCTTCCCTTACCATCTCAGCCCTTCCAGATCCATGTCCTCCTAAATGCAAGGATAATGTTAAAGCCCCACTGGATGATGGCCTTGAGATGGGTAAAATGGCCACCTGGGTTTAAATAATTGAGTATCAGACCCCTGCTAAGGAAGCTTCAAATCTGCATCTCTTGAGGCAACAGGAACTGCGGGGGAAGTCACTTTGCCTCTTGCCATTTGCAGCAGAAATTAGTGTGTATGTTATCTGTGTTTGCAGCCCCTGGAAATCTTCCTGAGATTCATGAGCTGGAGGCTTTGATAACTCACGTGGCGCTGAGCCTTCTTGTCTGCTCACAGACACCCCAGGGGAGGCTGCTGGAAATATCCCTGCTCCATTTGAGCAGGACAGCCAGGGCAGAGCAAATCATGATCTGGAGACCCTTCCCTAGGGCACTGGTGACTCCCTGTGAGACAGAGCCACGGGGGCTGGCCCCGCTCACCCCAGCCCATCCCTCGCTGGTGCAGAGCAGACCACGCAGGTGGAGCACAGGCTGAGCCTGCTGGTGATGCCTGCCTGGCAGTCTGTGCCACACAAATCCATGTACTAGCATCTAGCCTTGCCCTTTTCCTACGCTGATGGCTTTGCTCCTCTTCAGCCATTTCCTCTGTCTGTCCTGACCGTCACCCATTTCCACCAGATCTGTCTGGCTAATTTGTATTTCTCTGGGTGGCTGCAGGCAGCTGTCTCCTGCCCTTGGCCTCTAACCCACATATTCATAGCTGCAGCTACAGCATCAGCAGAGAGGATTATTCCTGTTCCCCAAAGCCCTTCCCCTTAGCCAGAGCCAGGGGCTGCTGCTCTCGGTGCACTGCCAGCACCAATCACCTCCATCGCAGCTTTGGCAGATCCAGCTCATCCACAGCCTGCTGTAATGTCCTGAAGAAGCCTCTCCCTCCTTCTCAGCACAATTACAGCTGAATTCTGTCTCTTCTAGGCATGTATAATGGGGACTTTGAAAGACATAGCACACAAACAGTATCTGGTGTTTCATGAAGTACCTTCTTTGAAAAGGCTGTTCTGAAAGTCTTTTAAACTTTACCAGGCAAACTCTACCAGTGCCCAAGCTCAGGTCTCACCAAGACCAGCCTTGCATGATGTAGGCTACTCCATTTGCATGCCATCAGGTGTGAGAGAAGAACCAAGAAAACAAGAGTGTTGCTTGGTCTGCCAGTGCTGTGAAAGGTCTTTCAGTGTGACACACCATCATGCAGTGTCCCTCAACACGAGGCAAGGCACTCCCTCATATCTGCTCCAAGTTTTGCTAAGACAAACAAGACAGACAGACAGACAGCAGCTTCCCACTGTGCCACCCAAGCAGGAACAGCTCCTCTCCCACTCCTACTCCCTAAGCTTGCCCAGGCACAGGGACCCAGGCTGAGGTCAGGGACTGGCTTTGTTCAGCACTGGTGCTTCCACAGGTGTTTCCTGAGAGGCTTTTCCTCGCATGTTAAGAGCTGCTGAAGGAGCCTCCAGCCCTCTCCCCTCTCTCAGCCAGCAGCCAGCAGTGGGGGATGTGCCAGCTCAGCACACACATCCTGAGAATCCCCAAACCAAGGCGCTCTCACTGGGTCACAGCCACCACCGGCACCTTAGTCCACTCCCAGCTGCTGGATCAGGGGCTGGGATGTGAACCTGGACACCTGGAAGCTGTGGAAATAGGATCTGGGAGCTCCTGCTGAGACTGTCCTGGCAGTGCCATCACCTCAGCAGCCTCTGCACTGTCAGCCTGGCTCTGCTGGGTGCTGGAGTGCCATGCCTGTGCTGGCTGCACCCTGTGAATCCCTGAACTAAACACCCAGTCTGTCATTGGCCACAGGGTGGGGGAATCACTCTCCACGATCTGCCCAAAATTCCTCACAATGCCACCAGGAATCAAAGCGTTTTCTGGGGCTCCAAGTCTCCTCCCAGCAACCTGCAGCACGGGCTGTCCTGCCCCAGCTGAAACTGCAGTGGAGTCACAAAAGTTCCAAGCACTCCACGCACCCTTTACACCCAGCCAGCATGGCTGTCCATGAATACTGCCCAAGAACAAGGTTCATGTAGGGAAAAGAAAAAAATGCATTAATTTCTCTCTAGTTTATAAAGATGAAAGCTATCTTTGTGAGACAGCACAGCACAAAGTTATAAAGGGCTTTTTATTGCACGATGACATGGGGTTAGCTTCAGTTGAATCCCTACACATTATTTCATGCAAAAACTAACACAATCTCTGCAGCAAAAATATCAGCTCTAAATAATATGAGTATGTATGTACATGGAATGTAACTTAAACAGTACAAAGGGGCTTCACAAATCTCAAAAACCATCACAGGTTGTAACAGCACTTCAGCAAAAGAGGTACGAGAAAACGGAGTTCCTTTTTATAACAGGAGAATTGTCAGTAGAGCTGGGATGAGACAGACCCCCACAGGAGCTGAGTCTGGGAGCGTGGCTGTGCTGTCACCATCCTGCTGTGGTCTTGCCACGCCCCACACAGGTAACCACAGGTGAGGTGACACCTCAGCAGCTCCTTAAGGAGCCCACCATGTAGTTATAGATGCTGTTTCTCAGCCAGCAGGAGAAGGCGTGGGGAGCTGCACACTCACTTTGAGGGGCACAGGAGTCACCAGAGGAACACTCAGGACACAAGACAGGCACTCACCACGTAGGAGAATCGCTCCCTGGACCTCCCTTCCCGGCTCACGTTCACCGTCACCACGTCCGAAAACGCCTCCGGAGCCTCCCCGGTCTGGCACACGACCCTGTGGGCAGACAGTGCCAGTGGCCAGGAGCAGCAGCAGCCGGCCCCGCCCGGCTGCAGGGACAGGGAGGGACAGGGGGCCATGCAGGGCTCACGGTCCCTCCTCCCCAGTGCCCCACTCACGTCTCGGACACGACGTATCTGTGGGGCAGGGGCGCGCAGGGCACGGCGCCCACGCGCACGGCGCCCACCACGTCGCTGAAGCGGCGGCCCAGGTTCCTCCCGCGGATGGTCAGCAGAGTTCCCCCCTCCAGGGGCCCACGCAGAGGCTCGATCTGCAGCACCAAGGGCAGGGCACAGAGTCAGAGCATCACAGCATCCCACGATGGCTTGGGGTGGAGAGGCCTCAAAGACCGTCTATGGTCCGTGCCATTGGCAGGGACACCTTCCACTAGGTCAGGGCAGAACCAGGAGCTTCCCTGAGCCAGTCCCGGTGCCCAGGCAGCACTTGAGCCCTCTGAAGGAGACAGAATCACTCCTCACATTCCTGTTTGCCCAGTGCACCCAACACCATGGTCTCCTTGCTCCAGCCTGGCACAGGAGAAACCATCACACTTCTCTGATGTGTTGGGCAATGGGGTTTGGTCAAGGATCACTTCAGCTGCAAACACATCTGGGAAGAAACATGCTTTTCTCCACACACCACCTTTGAACCCACTCTGACACCTCTGCTTTCACCTGACAGCTGCTGCCCCAGCGCTGTGAGGGACAGAGTACTGGCTGTGACAACATCCCAGTGCCACGACAGGACAGGGAAGTGGCCATGATTGTGCTGCTGCTGTTTTCCCCACTAACATGATGAAGACTGGATCCTGTCACTAGCAAGATGCCCTTGCCCCCAGGTGACTCAACAGCATAGAAACTCAGCCAGTAATTAAGTGCTGGTTTTGACCCCATCCTGTGCCAGGGACAATGTGCAGACCCCTCCTCTGCTCCAGGCAGGACAGTGCAGCCAGTCCCAGCCCTTGGCACCACCGGCACACCACGCCACGCCGTGAGCACCCTCCACGCTGCCTTCAGCTCTTACCTTGCGAATCTCCGGGGCCGGGCAGGCTTCAGGGAGCTGTGGAGGCTCGGTCTGCAGCCTGCAGCTGGAGCTGCCCTCGCTCCAGAGGCAGCGGTGCCCCAGGTCCTCCCTGCCCAGGCACTGGGAGCAGTCGGCGCTGCCGGTGGCGCAGTTGTACACCTCCACTGGAGCACCAGACAGAGACAACACTGTGAGCTCCCGGCCCGAGGCTCTCACAGCTCTGCTCAGCCCCAGGCAATCAAACACACACGGTCCCCCCAGCTCACCCCTGCCAGCTGCGGGAACCCCAGCAAAGCTGAAATGCAGCGGGGGAGCAGAGCAGCCTGCACACACGGTGAGATGAGGCAGCGCTTGGCCACCATCCTGCAGATTCCCCAGGAGGCCTGGGTGCTTGTTCACACTACAATATAGTTTAGCACTTTCTTTTCCTTTTTCTCTTCCTTGAAAAACAAGCAACACCCAAACTCGGAACATTTGTCAGTTAATGCTACATGCTTCCAGCTTTCAGCATCCACATGGGAAGCTGCTTGGCAAAGTTGGCTCCAACCTGCCAGGAAAGCAATCACATTGCTTCCACACTGACAAAAATGGAGTGGTTTGTGCTTTGTACAGTGTTTACAGTTCTTTCCTTCCCCCTGTGACCACAGACCCCTTTCATTGACTTCTTTTCCCTTCAGACCAGCTCAGCTTCCATATGTTTTTCTTATACTGCCTTTACATTTGGTGCCCCGGGTTACATTTCCTCTCCAGCCTCAGGACTTCTGCCACTCGAGTGTGGGTACCCAGGGAGGTGACAGTCAGAAATGCTCAGGAAACATGGCTTTCACACCCTTTTCCCCACAGGAGACTTTGCAGGAGTACATAAAACACAGAAACAGACACATTTGGCACTTCTGCTCACAGGAGCATCTTAAGGCACTTCATGAACAACTAATGAGTCCCTCAGCCTCAACGCTCTGCTGTGCTGTGCTAATGAAACTTCATCAGCACCAACACTCTCCCTGTGCCATGCTAATGAAACGTCACTGGTACTGAGGGTCTCTCCTATTCTCTACAAAAAAAAAAAGCATATTCCATGTCATCTGCAGTCCCCCCAGGGAGTTACACTGGGTGGTTTTCCAACCAATAGCAGAGCATGTATTCCTTCAATGGACTATCAAAACAGAGTGTACAATAAAAGCTAATAAAAGCTAATAAATATTGAAATAATAAACACTAACATGAGTGATTTCATTAAAGACATTTTAAAAGATGCCCATGTTTGTCTGGCAGTTCCCTTATGCAAGGCAGTCTCTCTAATGTGACTCACACCAGCCTGAGCAAGGCGAGGAGGAGCCAGAGCAGCCTGACAGTCCCGTGGGAACTCCAAATATTCTGGCCAGTTCCGATGGATGCAAACACGGCCTATGTAAACGAGCTCCTTCTCCATGCAGGAGGAGGGGAATTCCACCACGCTTTTTCTGCTGTGGTTCCTGCTCCCAGCACCACCCACACAGAGAACTGAGTCTTCTACACAGCCAAAACCCAGTGCCCCACCCCCCTCCTCAGGGTTACCACTGTATTGCAAAATTATGCCCTCTTCTTTCTGCAGAGAAACCAGACCTCATGCCTGCCCATGCTGGTATTCCCAGGTATTTTCACTTTTCAAGATAATCCTCCTCCATTCACAGGGATTTATCATGGGGAAACCTTTCTATCCTGGTCACTGCTTTTTGGTGCTCGTGTCTCTGTCACAGCCACCCTCCAAAGGAAAGCTGTCTTCGGGCTCCTGTGCGCCTCAGATAAATCAGCCCCTTCTGAGAGCTGCTGACACCCTCGAGAGGCAAAGGAGCTTGGAAAGGTTTCTGCAGCCAGAGCCCTGGGCAAGGGGCACTGCCAAACCTCTGGCTGCAGTGTGGCAGCCGCTGTGCCAGCCTGGCTCTGGGCTCTCCTGCCTGGCTACCTTGTCTGAGTCTGACTCATTTCGAGTCTGCCTGCCTGCCTGCCCTCCTCAGTTTGCTGATGTAGCAAGGGCTTTTTTGGGAATCCAGCTATTCTTCACAGAGACAGAGAACAGGCCAGGGGTGAAATGTGCTTACACATTTTATTCCTTCTCAGCAGAGGAAGGAAGAAGGAGGACTCAATTTTCACAGCATGTGGAACCTTGGTGCCATACTCCTGTGAGAGCTGAGGGAAGAGCCCTGCCCCATCCCTTCTCTCCCCTGGAGGAATTCCTCTCTAGCCCGCATCCCTTCTGTGCCTCAGAGCACCAGGTAACCTGTGCCATGCACTGCTGGCAGGTGAGACCTGAGCTGCCTCCACTCCTGGGCAGAGCTGGGCTTTGGCTGGCTCTAACAGGGATGTTGTGGGTGCCAGTCTGGGCTCTGGGCTCATGTCCAAGGGGGGTGACTCTGGGTAAAAACCCTTTCTCCATGTGCCTGAGAGAAGGAACTGCACTGTGCCCACTGGAGCTATGGCCTCTTTCCTGCAGCCATAAACTCTGCCCAGGTCTGAGAGTCACTCAAGCCAACCAGATGAGAAGAGCATAAAAATATTTTCAACTCAGACCTGTCATCATCTCCGGACTGTCGATAAATCTGTCTGGTTTGTCCTTCAGCTGAAGGTTCACTGGGAAGCGATGGCTTTTTTCTGATGTGTGGAGCTGCACACAAGAAACAAACAAAAACTTATGAAATTTAGTAAAAGAGGAGGTTACACACACATACTCTACATGGATTAACCTTTCTTGTGAGGCTTCTTTGACCACTGCTCCTCTACTCACAAGGGTCTGATCTTTAGCAGAAGAAGTGGGACAGCTGTTTTGTTTTAATTATTCTGCTGAAGTCCCAGCAAAGGGCACCAGGATACAGTGCATATCGTGGTGAGCACAGAGCCCTGGGTTGCTGCTATTTTTAGCAGAAAAGGACAGGAAAATGAACAGCATGGCTTGTCTGCACATTCTCAGTGCAGGGCTGTGATACAGGTGACGTGATGGAAAAGTGCTCTTCTCCAGCTTCCACTTGCAATATTCCTACTGGTGAAAGCCCAAAATTTGCAGGTGCAATTTTCCCCCTGACAACCATACACTGCTTTCCAGTGAGCACCACAGCATTTTCTCAGGCCAATTTCTTGTTCAAAATAAAAGCTGCAGAAACAGCAATCCTGAAAGGTGGCCGAATTTTTTGCCTGAACTGAACTCTTCCCATTTAGAAAGGTAAACAAGCAGCTCTTTTCCAAGCCCCAGGGGAACAGGGGCCAAAGCCACTGCAGATGCCCACAGCACTGGTGACATGTGTGTGCCCTGCCAGCACCAGCACACACAGAGAGCCCAGAGGGGAGAATGCAGGAGTGAGAGATGGGAAGAGAGCAAGTGGTGTCCCACTGCCAGGTGGGAGGTTGGGGGTGAGACCCTGCCTGCCCTCGGACCTGATCCTCAGCCTGGGGAAGCAGGGCTGGCAGCCTCACCCCTCGACTCACCAGCACATGAACACACTCCACGGCAGAGGAGTTCACCCACCGGGCTTCAAACGTCCCGTCTGTCCCGAAATGGCACTCCAGAGCTGTCTCCTAGGAGAGGCAAGACAAGGGCAGGATGGCTGCAAGAACCATTTTGTGCAGTTCTCTGTCTGTCAGTCGATCAGCAGGGTCCGTGTCCCCCCTCAATTCTGCCACTGGCACCTGAACTCTGTCCAAGTCCAACAGGAGATCAGTACCTGGCACTAAAGGAGATGAGCCTGGCTGGGCTCTTGTAACCCCAACAGCTCCTCTGGGCCGGGGTGTGTGGAACTCATGCTGCAGTGCAGACTGAGAGCCAACGTTGTCCCAGGCCACCTTGTCCAAACCAGTCCAAATCAGTCTGTTATTTCGGCTCAATCACCTTCTTCCTCCTCCTCCCAACAACTACACAGAGCAAATCTCTAATTCTAACAAGGACCCAGCTGAGAACATGTTCAAAGACTTCTGTGCTGTTTTCCTGATAACACAAGGATGATATCCTGCACCAAATTATTGCTGTGCCCACATCCTGCAGGAAAAAAAATCCTATCTCCAAACAGTTGATGCTCCACCACTACTGAGGTCTAGCTACCCTTTGAAAACTGGCAGATCTGATAAAAGACATGGAAGGAAGCACCAGGCTCCTGGCAGGCAGCTGCTGGCTCAGCGAAGACACAGGCAGAATCCTGCCCAGTGCATCACCTGTGCCCAGGCAGCTCTGGCTCTGCAGGCCACCCACAGCCCTGCCTCCTGTCCCTGCTGCAGCACGGGGGTCTGGGCACATCCCTGAGGCTCCCAGCTTCAGCAGCACTCATGAGCCCCTCCAGAGAGGGAAGGAAAAGGAGTCCTCCCCAGCACCCTGGGACAGCGAGCAGAAGGAAGCCAGACTGCCAGAGCCTCTCCTGCTGCCCCTTTCCTGCTGACTCAATTTCCTGTGGGCTCCATGCACTATTGCTTCCTCCTTGGCCACCTCCAGCATCCACACAGGAAGAAGGATTTCTCACCCTGTTTTGCTGATTGCAGAGGTCACAGCCTCCTTCCTGGAGGCTGGAGCTGTGCAGGAAAAGGCCACCCCATGCAGGCATGAGGGTCTGCTCTGCCCCTGTGCCAAGGGCAAGGAGGTGAGGGGGGAGTGGTGCCTCCAGAGTCTCCAGCTGCACCCTCCAGCACCTCAGAACAGCTCCACCAGCACTTCCAAAACTCTCCTCTCCTGAAGAACAAGGAGCCACTTGGCTGCCCAGGGTGCTGGAATCATCAGCAGGGACAAGGCAAACCTGGCCCCATGAGCCCTGCTGATCTGAGCCAAAATTACTCAGGGCAGATTTCTACAAACACCAGAGCTTACTCAAGCACTTTCCCAGTGCTCAGCCTCTTTGCCCCAAATTCCTCTGGTTGTCTCAGGCATGCAGCACATCTCCAAAGGCACCATTTGATGTCCGCTCCTGCTTTTCACTTTTAGAATCAGCGTGTCAGAAAATTTCACAAAAAATACTTTTTCACACCAAACAAGCTCTGCAGTGATGACCTGAAGGACATTTTCACACCAAACAAGCTCTGCAGTGGCAATGTGAAGTTAAACAATGCTTCCATGCTATACTGTGGTTCAGACACGGCTCCCTGCCCACCACTCAGAGCTGTGCCCTTCATTCCTCGGGGCACTGGGGCCAGGCTGGCAGGAGGGGCTGGGAGAGCACGACACCAGCATGCTCCCACACACAAGAGAACAGGGAGTTTTATTTCCCCCGAACACCTGTCCAAACCTTCCCAATGCCTTTAGGAACTCTTTTACCTTAGGGAAAGTTGCATTGGCCAGTGAGATCATGATGTTCCGAGACACACCCGTGGGCATTGGCTCCAAAGGGGCAGGTACTATTCGAGGACAGTCCATTTTCTTCTGCTAGGTACAAAAATAAGGGAAAAAAGGGGTTAGCTGGGTGCATGCTGAGCACCCTCAGCAACAAGGGAAGAGGAGACATCATGGTCCTTGACAGGATTCATTTCACTGGAAGCAGGTAGTGCCAGCTACAGTACAGTGACTGTGTACCTGAACCTCAGCTGCCACCCGGCCTTGACAGGGCCAGAATGACTCTGAAAGGAGGCACTGCCACCTCCAACGGCAGATGTACCAGTGTGACCCTCCATGTCCCACCCAGTGCACGGCTGGCTCCTGGCAGCACCTGCAGTCTGTCGCAGGGTGTCCATGCTCCCAGCAGCACTGCAGAGTGGCTGTGTGTGCACACAGGCTGTGTGTGCAGGGAAAGGGTAGGAGCAACTACAGGGGCTTCAGCTGGGGGGCTGCAGTAGTAGGGCAGCTGCACTGAAAGGCTTAAATGAAGCTGAAAAATGATTTTAAAAGGTCATCTGTCTCCCTACTTTTGTTCTCGTTTTAAATTGATGTCTCAGACACTGGAGCTGACTCAGAATTCCAGTCTATGTGACAAACCCGTCCTGTTCTCTCATGAGACGTAAATCACACTGCAAAACTACAGCAAAAATGAAGCCAGATTGTGCATGGCCCCAGGGCACATCCAGAGTAATGCCTGTGACAGTGGAGCTATTGGGGTAAAAGATAACAAAATACTCGGTCCATTATGCAGAATCATTTGCAGCAGGCAGGATTTCCTCCTGCTTACATTAAAGGCTGTCCTGCTGTGGCTCCACTGATGCCAGTGCTGCTGCTGCTCAAGGAGAGGCTGAGCCTGCCCTCCCAGGGCTGGGATGCCTGTCCTGACACATCCCTGAGACCAGACATGCAGCAGGGGGAGGTTTCTCTCCTGCCCTCCCCAGACCTAGACAAGAGGTCAGGGAACTACCTGGAAGTGCCTGTTTGACTGTGGAAAAAATGTTTCGCTTCTGTCAAGACACTCATCTAACCAAGCACAGTTGGTGCTGCCTAAACAAGGAGATTAAATAACAGAGAAGAATGTGATAAGGGCAGCAAAACAGCAAAGCAAATGAATGGGGAGAGATTTCAGTCCCAAATCTCTTCCAAGGGAATAAAAGGAGTTAAAATAAAACCAGCATGGCTACAATTTCAAGCAAAACCTCCCCTAGCCTGGTGAGTCCCTGCATGCCACAAGAGCAGGCACAGCTTCCCAGAGAAATACACTTTAGAGGATTGATTAACTTGTCATCTTGCAGCCCCTTCTCCTCCTGTTCACAGCCACCAGAAACAGAGCTCCCATCTGACTACATCCTTCACATCTGGATCAGAGGAAAGGGGCAGAATGTCCAAGGTGCTGCAGGCAGAGCTGTACAGTGCAGCTTTCCCTGCAGAGCCATGCTCAGGTGGTTTGTTTACCAAAAGCTCCAACTGCACGATGAAAACACCACGTTTCCAGGGCTACAGAGCACCTCTCCTGCAGCTGCTCACAGGAGCAGCAGGAGGCTCAGAGAGAAAACAAACATGCCCAAGCAGATCAGCATCCAGCCCAACTGCACCTCTGGAGCAGGAGATCCAAGGAGGTAAAGTCAGTCCTCTGCTAATTGAGGACTAACCCAAGGCAGTGCCCAGGTGACCCCACAGCCCTGATGTCACCCAGTGTCACTGCTGAGACTGGCACCCCCCAGTCCCGGGCACGAGCACACAGCAGTGCCAGCAGCACACACGGCCAGTGTGTGCCAGGACCCCTGCAGGGCTCCCAGGCCTGGCACACGACAGGCACCCAACAGCAGCAGCCATCAGGATGGTTTTCAACTTCCCAGCACCCATCCAGACAGCCAGGGAAAAGGCCAGACACGGAAGCCTGTGAGGTGGACAAAGAAGAGGATGCTTCCCCAAAACACCTGGGTATGCACAGGCAGGCACAGCTGATCCCAGCACACGGCCCTGTGCTGCTGGGAGCTGCCACCTGGCAGGGACTTCTCCATGCCCATTTCCCAGGGATTGACAGGATCTGGAGCTGTACTGGTGGCTTCAGCTCCACCTCAATGCCCTGCACTCAGAATCCCCCAACTCCTCCCCACTGGAGGAGAGTGGGTGCCAGGGCTGGCCCTGGGCTCAGCCTGAGAGGGGTGGGACATCTGACATGGGGCCAAAGTCCTCTCCATGATGAGCAGGGGGAACACTGGGGACCTGAGTTAAGAGCAGAGCACCAGTGCAAAAGGGATATTCAATTTATAGAGTAAAAGCTTGGCTTGGATCTAGAGCAGATTGATTGCTAAAAGGCCCATTTTATTTAAATTAACTTCAATTTAAATTTCAGTAGTAGGAACACTCTGAGCCTCTGGGTATTAAAGCTGCAATTTGGAAAGGGGTGATTTTCTCCTCTGAGTGAGCACCCCAGTGGTGCTCCAGCACATAATTAACACACAGCAATCTCGAGGCAAAGCTAAGGGTATGGCTACCATGCACCCCTCAGCTCAGCCCAGCCCAGCCCAGCCCAGCCCTCCCACCTTTCCTGAACACCAGCTGGGGAGGGTGCCCAACCCCAGCAGGGCACAAGCCATGGCCAGCAAGTGCTGGTCACTGCTGGAGGAGGCTCGGAGCCCGAGCAGCAGCTGAAGGAGCCTCACCTCCATCCACAGTGCATCCTCACACTGCGAGTGGTTGGAGACACAGCTGTAGGCAGAGGGGCACCAGTGACACTTCCACCTGGCCGAGAGACAGCTGGTGCACCTGAAATGGCAAAGGCAAGGTGAGAAAGGCAGAGTGTAGGTTGCTCAGAGGGGCCACACCTCAGCCCTGCAACCCATCTTCACACTGTTCAGCCTTTAATGGTGCCTAGAAAAACCCACGGCAGGTGCTGGATTCCCTCTCCTCTCCCTGGGACCTGGCAGGGGATGTGGCCAGAGCCCATCACCCCCAGGCATCCCTGCCTGGCCTCAGGCCATGGCAGACTGAGAGCCACTCTCCATGCTTAGGAAAAATACATCTTTCCCAAAAAAAACGCTCTTTCCCCTCATCTGTGTCTCTGAGGAGCCCAGCGTGCTGGATGTGACTAAGACTCTCCCTGCTGTTCACACAGACATGGGAGGGTGGTCAGGTCCTGCTGTAATGCTCCTGGGAGCTGGATGAGTTTTGGTGTGCAAACAGCCCGACCCTGCCTTCCCCAGTGCCCCACAGGTGCCCCCACACACCGCTGGGGCGGCCACCTCTGCTGCCGAAGGGTTAACAGAACAACCCTTATTTTAAGACACTATTCATGTTTAAAAGAAACCCAGCACGTCCAGATGGCGTGAGGACGCTCCCGTGGCAGCACACCTGCCAGGATCCTGCGAACCCTGCCCAGCCCCGTGCTGCCCACTGAGCCCACACGGCAGAACCGGGACAGACCCGGGCTGGACCCTGCCCTGGCCGCCCCGGCTCGGGCACCCCCGCCCTGCCTGCACTGCGGTCTCTTACGCTCTCCTGGGGTAAATGGTTACAATCCTTTTGCAATCGTAGATGGTGAAATTGGCCCGGATAATGTTTTTGTTGTTGACCCGGAGAGAAGCTTCGACAACCACGTGGTCTGAGAAAATCAAGCCAAAGAATATTGGGTTGCAACAGCCCCTTGCTCACACTCACATCCAACAGACAAGAGAGACCCTTGGGAAAACAAGGGCCAAACCCGATTTGTTTTCTCTAGGGCTTCCTCCGAACTGCATTTCAGAACTTGGACCAGTCATCCTTTCTCCTCTGACCTTCAGCTCTTCCCTCCCAAATCAGCACTTTACATTACTCTCACAGAAAAGAACATGGTGACTTTCGGCACAAAATCCCAGCATGTTATGCAAGTGTTAATTAGCAGATTTAATTATTGTCTTCACGTATACAGTTGGTGCTAAATTATAATTTTTAAAAAGTGGTAATTAAAACATGTTAGTTATCATGTTTTAAAATCCCGCTCACTTCCCTGTGCCAGCAAACCTGCAGAGAGAGGAAATCCCTTTTTTGGCTGCTCAATACACCATGCTACCTTCCCTCCCCCCTAAATTGCCTAATTTTTTTTTCTTTGCAATTTTGCCATATAAGCACCAGGGAGAAGAAACAATGACTCTTTCAGAATACAGACAATAAATCAGTGCACTGGATTCCAGAAATTCATTTGGACATTGCTGTAACCAACAATACAGAGCAGTTAATGATCTCCCATTCTTTGGATAGTTTGGGAGCAAAGCAATGCAGCTTTACAAATGGGCCTAGAAAAAGCGGAATTTTCAAAAGGACAGGCTAATTCTCCCCTTACTGAAGTCAGCTATCTTCAATAGCACATTCACACCAGTCTTGAAGGATGAAAATTTAGCAAGCACTCAGGTCTGGACCGAAGCATCCAACGTCTCCAAAGGCACCGAGAGGGGCTGGCTCCATGGCCCAGTGGCCAGTTCAGGTCTCCAGCCTCCTGCACAGGCACTCATCTCCCCTGGAGCAGCTCCAGGGAGCCTCGAGACAGGCACCCCTTTGGCACCAATGGAAAACAGGGGACACTGGACACCTCTGTCTGGCTTTTGGCTGCAAAATGGGGGCCAGGAGCTCCTGAGCTCCTTTAGGTACCCACTCACTCCTCCAGAACTTCTCCTGAAAGGCAGCGTGTGTTTGGGAGGGAAATTAAACAAAGCAATTGAAAATATCAATATAAAAAACCACATTATTTGCCCAGGGCTAAAACACCTTTTACTTAGTACACACTAATTCTAAAGTAGAAGGTCAGACCAGATAAGAATAAGTACATGAACTGGCATTTAAATTTTGACATTTAAACCAAAAATTGATAGATTTGCAATACTATCAATTCATGTAAAGATGGTGGAACTCCTACATTTCAGAGTCATATGCCCTGTAAAACAGAAGCAGCTTCATGCATTAACTGCACATACAACTGAAAAAATAAATAAAGCCTATTGAAAACTATGTCCACAAAAGTGGTTAGAAAGAACACAGCTTGTTTGCCTCTACATACCTTGGTCATCAGGAAACGCTGGATATTTCTCACGTGGAAGCAAACTGCAATAAATAAATTGGTTTACATAATCCCCAGCAACTCTAGCTACTGTGTGGATGTTGTTTCCATAGTCACATGAAATATTTGTTCCATTCAAGTTCGGGATAGTTCCGTTTATTTGTATTATCAGGGCCTATATTAGACAAAAAAGTCAGCTATTATCACAGAAAATTATATTTAGAAATTGTCAACATTTTAGAAGCTCTTCAAAGGTAGACAACTCTAAAACAAGCCCACAGACAGGGCCCATCTTGAAACAAATAATATTTTGGTGAAAACCTCTAAAATATAATTTAAATACTTTAAAACAGCAACATACAAAACCAGGAAATGAGTTGACTCAGCTGTGTGCAGCTGATTGTATTTGAATTGTTGTGACCCTGCCCTGTGTGTTTGGGGCAGCAGTTTGGTGGTTTTTGCTGTGGGCTCAGCTCTAGGTGCTGTTTGCCCACAGACCTGGCATCCAGCTGGCTCAGGCTGTGGGGTGCAGGTGACCCCCAGCTCCCCGAGAGCCTTGGCCTGATGCAGCATCCCCTGAGCCACAGCCAGGAGCCACAGCCCTGCTCAGCATCCCCTG